TATTTGGGACAACTTTTTTAATGTTTTTTAAAATATTTTTTTAATGAAAAAAATTGAACAAGTTTTATTTATTAAAATGCTACTTTAGAAAGCAGCCTAAAAATTATCTCAAAAGGAGCCTAAAAATTGTCTCAAAAGGAGCGTAAATTAGATATAAAAAGTCAAATGTGTAGAGAATAACTTTTCAACATTAAACACAAATGATTTTAGGATTGATTTAAGCCTAAAACTGATGAAAGCAAGAGGCGAATAGGGCGATAAAGAGCTACATGAGCAAAAATGCAATGATTTTTGGCAGAAATTTTAAAACAACTACTATTTAGAAAGATTAGATGTCGTTTAAAACAAGTACAACGAGTCGTAAATGGTATTAGAATAATGAATTTTTATGGTTATATTTACAATATTACTTTTACTATCGATTTTTTCTTGAAAAATATCATAGTGAAGTAAAATAAATGACTTGGGTTATAGATCGAGAAAAAACAATTTTCATTAATGACACTTTTATGCATTTTTTATATTGAGAAAATTAATATTTTTATGTTAATTGATATAAGGCCAAGATGAGTTGTGTTTCTTAGTTAAACACACATTTTAACAATATTAGTATTATTATTATTTTATGGAAGATTAAATTAAAGGAAATTGTGCATAAAAATATCCCAATCACCACAACTACGTAATAATCATGCCATTATTATGAAAAAGTTAAGGTTTCCTTTATAAAATTGAGCTTTTTGTTTTGGCAAAAAGCCAAAGAAGGCTTCAAAATGACGTTCCATGAACAGCAAAGAGTTTTCAGAATAGTAATGGACTAATGGGGACAGCAGGGCTAAAGAATATCGTCAATTACTTCAGTGGAAGAACCTATCAGCATATCACAGCTTGTTGTTCATTGCATGCAAGATGAGTGGCGGATGCTTCAATTTCTTATTTGTCTTTTAATTTAGATTTTTTTTTTTTTACTTTATCCTCATTTGTATCAGATTATCAGCCAATTAGTTACCATAGGATAAAGCAACACATTAATTTTAAATTTTATTGATCTAAACATATCAAATGATTGATTTTATTCAATTAAAAATATATTAAAATAGAAAGTGTTGCAAAAGTATAGCGACTAAGTATTGGCATCCAAAATCATAGCATCTAAAATGAAGAGAATTTTGAATGGATTGGAGGACACTACTGATAAGAGCTCGCCTGGATTCCCGTCGCCCGTTTTTAGGGTTTTGACGCTCCTTCGATTTCTCCACCGGCCGCCTGGCCGTGATGGCTCTCACCGCTGCGGATTTTCCCCCCTTACAGGGCTCTTCGTCCCTGCTAGGGGCCACTCCCTCCCTTCTTCCTCCTGTTTCCTACACTAGCAACCTATCAGCTCCCCCTCCCACCCGGGATGACTGGCCGATGTCGTTTGTTAAGCCGACCAAAAAGCTCTCTTTTGCTGCTTCTGACCTTTCTCAAGGAAAATGTTTGTGGAGTCTCTCTCTTGTGGGGTATTCCTTGGGGCAGCGGCCCTACTACGAGAGACTGCTTTCCGCCATGAACAGAGCATGGAAACTCAAAGGCTCACTGTCGCTACTTTCTCTAGCAGACGACTTTTTTCTCCTGAAGTTCATTGCAGTTGAAGATTTTGACATGATTTGGTCCGGTGGACCTTGGTTTCTACTTGGTAAGCCTTTCTTTTTACAGAAGTGGTCGCCGAAATTTCAGCCCAAGCGGGACGAAAATGCGGCTATACCACTGTGGATTAAGATTCTGAACCTTCCCCTTGCTCTCTGGATGCCGGCAGGTATCTCTAAGATCGCTAGTTACATTGGCATTCCTTTATACGTCGATTCCCTTACTGCTAAACGAACGCGACTTACTTTTGCTCGTATTTGCGTTCAAGTTGATAAGGAATCTATTTTACCGGATGAAATACCTTTGGAAATTGATGGTGAAGATTTGTTTCTTAAAGTCGTTTATGATTGGAAACCTTCAAAGTGTGAAGGTTGTGGCTCTATGATACATCCCTATGCTCTCTGTCCCTCCAACCCTACACCAAAACCTTCTCTTCCTCCTAAGCCTGTTCTTCGGGGGAGGAGCAACCAGGAAACCGGCTGCCAGGGTTCCTTCTCCGTTTTCTAAGCCCACTGATCAAAACTCTTCTTTGCCCTCTTCGGTGGTCATACCTGAACAACCTCTTATTACTCTGAACTTGCCCCCAGCTTCAACACCTTCCCCTATTCTTGAACGAAGTCTTCCTGTTACTTCAGATCAGGCTAATCTGCTTGTTCCTGAAGCCAGAGAACCTCCTCTGATTAACCTGAATTTACCGCAGGAAGACTCTTCTTCTTCCGGGCAACCCTACTCTCAATTGCTATTGCTACCCCCTCAAGTGCTTCTTGAGAATAGCTTCAATTCGTTGCAAATGGACCCTCCCACTCATCCCGGGGACGTCAACACTGAGGAGAATCTCTCTTCCTCTTCTAAGACTGAAGATGATCATCCTCCCAAAACCTCCACTTCCAAAGCCTCCTCATCCCATTCCAACCCGTCTACTTCGGGAAAAAATAAATCTCCTTCCTCCAAAGCCAAACCAAAACCAAAATCGGCCAAAAAGGCCAAAAAACCCAAGTAACCATGTCCTTTCCCAATATTGCTGATTGGAATGTGAGGGGGTTCAACAACCCTTTAAAAGCTAAGATGTGTAAAGACTTAATTGCTTCTTACAACCTTAAGCTTTTAGCCATTCTTGAAGCTAAGATCCATCCTTCTTCTATTTCTGACCATTGGTTTTCCTTTACCCATGTCTTATTTCAGGATGAAAAATCCTGTGACAATTTCTCTTTTTCTACCCCCGGTAGAATTTGGATTAAGTGGGACTCTTCTCAACTTTCTTTTACCCCTTCCTTTGTTTCTTCTCAAGTTATTCATGGTATTGTTGAAGCTGGTTCTTTACCTCCGTTCTATCTTTCTGTTTTTTATGCTGCTAATGAGCTGAATGATAGAAAAGTTCTTTGGAGTGATCTTATTAGTAT